TCACGAGTGTGTGTCATGGGTATTGAGTGTGGGGTAGAAATCTGAGGGTCTTTGTTGGCCACCTCCCCCTTTATTTTCTCATTGTATGGTACTTGTTTTATAAGTTACTGGTAAAGACGTGTGATGTATTGAGACCTGGTGTGAAGTGTTGTATGTGTTTTTATCAAGTGTATGTTAATAAAGTGACTTTTGTTTATACCCATTATTATTATTATGCTCACCCTGCCTTTGGCAATGAACCTGTGTCCCTTTGTTTAGGGCTGTTATGTCCCGGTGTATTCTGGGTGGCGTAGTCGACTATAGGATTTCTCTTATTATTGGTAATATCCCAAACTTCTGACCACTTACTGCCACACGAGCAAAACGGTATAATTTACTGTATGGTAGGCTAATTAATAAACAAGACATGTAAGATATAGCCTATAAGACATCTGTCATGTATTATTTTAAATGATTTAGATGATTTATTATTAATGTTTTTTTAAATCAATTTATTATTGTAATTAATGGATAACACACTACTCAATATAAGAATACTTCTTTATTATTTGGCATAATGAAGAAGTCCATTTGACAAGGAAAAACTGTAGATTAAGCCAGCAGGATAAGGTGAATGGTTTATTCCTTAAGAAATAAATAACGATTTATGTGTCAGTGTAGCAACGTTTTTTTTTTTTATTAAAGAAGAATGATTGAACAAACAAAAATATTAACAAGTAAATCCAGATACACAAAATATAAGAGCAATCTTAAACTGTAGAACAGTGTTTAAGAGAAGAAAAATAAATAAAATAAACTAACCACATCGTAAAAACAAAAAACACAATTTTTAAAAAATTATTAAACAAACAACTAAACAATAGTTCAAATGTTCTTCCTTTTTCCTTAGGACATATTCACAGATTGCAGCGGGGGAGCTATATCAGAAAACAAATTCTCCATGAAATCTAACAATATGTCATTCTTTTTGTTATTAATTTGCATTAGAGACTTTTTCAAAGCTTCCATTTCTGATAAAAATAGATTACACTTTGGTATGCATTTCGAAAATTTCTGTTTATGAATATACTATTTACCATGCAAAATGTAAAAGTTAATGACAATCATTTTACGTTTGTGTGAATAAGTACAAATAACATATTTTAAAGATAACATAAACATTTCTTCGCATAAATAGAAAGGCACTAACATCAGACCAAAATCTAAGAGACAAATCACAATTATAAAACAAATGACAAGTCTTCCTCACGTGTGTTACAAAAATTGCAATTATTGTCAATGTCCATGATTTTAGAAATAGCTACTTTACATGGGTACATTTTGTGAAGTATTTTGAAATGCACCTCTTTAACTTTATTCAAAATACAAAATTTGTAAGGATTTGACCAGGTCGTTTTCCAATTAATATCAGAAATGTTTGCGTTCCAAAAGAACTTTCCTCTAGGGGAGATTTTATGATTTGATTTCAAAATGTGTCTAATATTTTTATTATTACAAGAGGAAGAAAATATTTCAATACCATTAATTTTTTAATTCTGGAAATATCCTTTCATTGCTTCCAAAAGAGAGAAGATTATTTATTCGTTGTATCAACCCATTTGGAATAGCTTTAACCACTTGTTGAAATTATTTAAAGGGGATGGGAAAGTTGTAAACATGCATAAAGTCTTCATAAGACAGAATGTTTCCTCTCTCATAGAACATATCTATAACAAAATATATATTTCAAACCACCTATGCAAAAATAACTATTTATTCATACAAGTAATAAGACAATTGTTCCATAAAAGCATTTTATGTGGAGAAAAGTTGTGATGGAAACAATTTTTCCAAGCCAGTAATACCTGCTGGTGAAATTTAGATAATTTAATAGGTAACATTCCTGGAAGAAAGTTACATTTCAGAAGAAAAGATAACCCTCCAAGTTTTTGAAAGATACACTGTGGGATAAAGAACCACATAGAATTATCTTTTTTTTAGACAATTTCTTAATTAAGTTTAAAAGTATTGTTAATGTAAAGAAATATATTTATCATCTCTAAGCCACCTTCTACACTTTTGCCTGATATAATGTCCTTTTTTAACTGGTAAGGTTTATTTTTCCATATAAAATCTAAGAAGGATTTATTGATATCTTTGGAAATGTCCTCACCAACATACATGGAAAGAGCAGGGTAAACAAATCTAGAAAGGCCTTCAGCTTTGGACAGTAATACTCACAAAAATGGTAAGATCCCTTTGTAGCCAATTATTCAAGATACGTTTAGTTTTCTTGATTTTTGACATACTATTCAATTGTTCACATGTAGTTTTATTTTTATTTTTACAAATATAGATTCCCAGATATTGAACAGAGTCTTTTACTGGTATATTTTCAATAGGTAAGTAATTGTGTATGTATAAAATTTCACATTTATGAAGATTAAGCTTTAGACCAGAAGATTTAGTGAATTTGGTAATACAATCCAGGGCTGTTTTCACTTATAATGCAGTGTCTTCTGCCAATTGAGAAATTTTGACTTCTCTATCAAATATTTTTAATCCCAAAATGCTTTGATTGTTTAAAATTGGAACAGAGAGAAGTTCAGCAACTAACAAAAACAGAAAGGGAGACATCGGACAACCTTGGTGTACACCACGATGGATTCCAAATCTTTTAGAGGTTCCCGTATTCAAAATAACAGAACTATTAATATCCTTGTAAAACATTTCTATAATATCAATGAAATTATTCTCAAACCCAAAAACTTTCAGAGAGTGAAGTAAGAAGCCATATTCAATTGTATCGAAGGCTTTACAAAAATCTAAAAACAAAATAAGAGCCCCTGACTCTATCAGGTCAGAATAGTCTAAAGGTCAAAAATAAGACGAATATTGTTACTAATATATCTATTTTTCATAAAGCCTGTTTGAGATTCATTAATAATTTGATCTAGTCCTGATTTTAATCTTCTAGCATATACTAATGCAATCAATTTGTAATCTGTATTCAAGAGAGTGATAGGTCTAGTTATCAATATCCAAACAATCTTTATCTAGCTTAGGGATCAGGGAGATTAAGCCTTGTTTCATAGTTGTCGCCAATTCCTTCTATTTAATACAATCATTGAACATGAAGAAAAGTGGCTCTTCTAAAATATACCAGAAATGTTGGTAAAACTCAATCGAAAGTCCATCAGGTCCTGGACTCTTACCTTTGTTCATACGTCGAAGAGCTAACTGCAATTCTTCTCTTTTAAGATCAGAATCACAAAGATTTTTAAAGTCATTATTTATCAATGGAATAAAATGTTGACTGTTATCAGTAAACGCTTTGCAGATATCATAATTAAAGTCAGATTGATATCATTTTTAGGGTAGGGTCCTCACATAAGGAGTTATTAATACACAATGCTGACAATGATTTTCTCTTAAAATACCTTTTTTCAAGGGCAAAAAAATATGCTGTGTTCCTCTAGCCCAGGGCTGTCCAAACTCGGTCCTGGAGGGCCGGTGTCCTGCAGAGTTTAGCTCCAACTTGCCTCAACACACCTGACTGGAAGTTTCTATCCCCTTGTCCAAATACACACTTGCGGTCTTGGCCACTTGAGAGCACATGCGCGCGACAGGAAGTAAGTGTGCAAGTCTGTCCCATGTCTTCAAAATGTCAAAGTGCAGTGCCCTTAATGGATACTAAATCCACACTATCTCGAATACCGCTCCAGAGCGCTATTCAAGGCTAAGTGTACCCCATCATGCATCATGTTCTGGAAATAAATCGTGAGACTTTTTGCCGAGATCTCACGAGAGGTCACGGAAACCTTTCCAATGTAAGTTAAATATTAATATAATAATTAGATACTACAAATAATTAGGTAGAAAACCAGTGCTTTTACTTTTATTGGTGCAAAGATGAGTTGTGGTGATATTTATTTTGTACAACATTTGCAACTGCTTTTTATCATTTAATTAGAAGCACCACAAATTAAAATTGTCATGTTATAGGGACTACTGAACAGACATTTAGAAGTTGATTTTAAAATGCAAAGTATTTCAAATTAAAATAAAGCTGTGTAAGCATTTGAATTTTTACAACACTATAAGTGTGTCCCATCAGGTAATGAAAAGTTAGACACAAGTGTGGGTATTTGGACAAAGCCTATGCCTAGTAAGAGCTTGATTAGCTGGTTCAGGTGTGTTTAATTAGGGTTGGAGCTAAACTCTGCAGGACACCGGCCCTCCAGGATCGAGTTTGGACAGCCCTGCTCTAGCCCTTTTCTATCCACTTAGCTCTTGAGCGCATGAAAGCTCCATTAACCTTCTTCTTCTTTTGTCTTTAATGGCGGTTGGCAAACCTGCATTTCCGTCACCTACTGGGATGGAGTGTGAGGCCTCGATGAACGAATATATTACCGGTATATACTACTAAATAATAAAAAAAAAAAAACCTGCATTCTTCTAATCAACTCTGTATCTCTCAGATATTTTAGAAGAAAATCATAAACCCTTAGATGTTTCTGTGCATTCTGAAATATATTCATAACTGAAATGTCATTGATTTCCATATCTCTTAGTTTTTCAACAAGTTGCTTTCTTTGCCTATTCTATGCCTCACAATGTAAAAGCTGTTCAACTGTTTGTTATTCCACAGTAACTGCAGCTATCTGACTCACTTTTTCCTATTATATGCAATGAATAATTAAGGTTAGAGTGTCCTACACGGATCCTGGTTATAACAGTATCTTCTCTTCTGTTTCCATATACCTTTCTATCAATCCCCACTTTCTGTTGAATGCTAAATAAGTGTCTCCCTTTTGATTTATTCCGTACGCCTTGCCACATACTTCCAACTGCTCTCCATTAACCTTGTTAGTATACAAGTCATTAAGTTTAGCTTGTAAAGCATGGACACTGGAGCGCACTATGCTGTATTGGGGAGAGGTCAGTGTGGCAACGCAAGTGTGAGGTCCTGACATTATGTGCGCGCGTTCAGATGACGTACGTGTGTTTCAACAGCTGATTGAAAGAGGTCGCAGTTCACCAAATAGCTCGCGACGTTAATCTTCTGAAAATATATATTTCGGCTTTCGGTGTGATTTATATCCAGTTCTGTAGCCAGATATCTTCGGAATGACGTGATTCGGTGAGTGTCGATGGTTATTGGCCTCTTTTAGTAAGGACTGGAGATAAAATCTTGTTTTTGCTAAGTCAGTGCTGTGGCATTTGTGTGTATCTGCTTTGTTTCGATTCCTAAGTCAGGCTGCTTAGCTGCTGACATTGTCGATAACGATAGAAACAAACCGGGTAACTTATTTAACGTAAAAACAGTGTGTGCGGTTATTTCTGTTTCGTTTTTTTTATTGTGTCGTGCTACTAAATACTTTGTTTAATTCTTTGCTGCTCTTTGTGTCAGTCAAGCTAGCTAGCAGAGTAGTTAGCAGGTAGCTTTATCTCAATGACAGCTTTAGAGAAAACACTTCTGTTCTCACGTTTAACAAACAACAACATAAGTTGTTGATTCTTTCTAGAATGTTCTGTCTAGGGGAGTAACACACAATAAATGCACATTTGTCAGGGTTGATTTTTTTTGTAGAAAAACATTGTTTACGTTAGCAGTTGGACTTTTCTCTCATACTAGCAGCTTTGTCATTTTTCGGAGTGCTTAAGACATACTACTTTGTATTTAACTCATTTAAACATCCTTTACATCTTTAGGTCAGTGTTCTATTCAGGGCTCGCAAGCTTTCTAAATCCCTGGTAGCACTTCGGGCAGGTACTCTTCAGATTTTGGTAGCCCGAAAATTTATTTAACTAGCCCAAATAAAAAAAGAGCTTTAAAAAAATAAATAAATACATATATAGAAAATCAGATAGGAGTTTAAATGTCAATCAAAAATATTTTCAATACACAAATATCAACAGATATGAAGGAAGGAATTTTATTTCACTATTTACAGGGTGTCTGCAGCATTTTTACAAGGCGATTTATGACCCATTTTAAGAGCTGCACAAGTAAAATGAACACGGTACGAGTGGGGTTGGACAATGTCTATGGTAACATAAAGTGCTGAGCCATAAAATTACATGATTTACAGTTCAGATACAGGTTTCCACAAAAACAAAAATCTTATACAACAGCATTTCAGCCTTTAGACCATTTTTATGAAAAGGGATAAATCAAGGATATAAATGTTTAATTTAAAACGCATAAATATTACTGTCTTAATTGTTTAGATTTTTAGAAGGCACATTACCTTCTTTCTCATTTATAACTCAATGTGTTTGCTGCGTAAAAACACGAGTTGATATTTGCATCGATATGACCATAAACAGCAAGAAAGGCTTATTCGAAATGCAAATTCATTCTCTGCCACGCGGTGGCGCTTTACGGCTGTACACAAAGCAGCTTCGCGCTCATAAACACTGCTTTATCAGGAATTATAGGTCAAATGCAATTAAAATGCCAATGACATGTTTATGAGGACAGTCGGTTCCCTTCAGATACATTCAAATAAAGACATCCGCGCCGCGTTTTGACTTGAAACCTGTAACGCTCATATTTATTAAATGACATAATTGCCTTTTGAAGTTTAATCCAGCCATATCACGACTCTTGTGTTTCCGTCCCCAACTGTAAGACCTCTTGAAATTATAATTAAGACATTTTTTATACCATTTAACGTATTTGAAACTTTTTATGGCCTTAAGTTTGATACAACTCACTTTAGGAGTTTTTTAAGGACCCGCAGGAGATTTGCATTTAAGAAACATTTTGGTAGCCCGACTGGAAAACACAATAGCCCCGGGACGTCGGGCTAGCAATTTTGCGAGCCCTGATATTAATGCCAAGAATTGGCAGCATTAAAAACATAAAAACAGTAACCAAATATTCTGAGAGGGTTGTACATCTATTGGGTCTCCACAGGGCAGTGCACTGTCATCAATTCTTTTTTTACCTTTATACAAATGAGTGTCAAAAGTTATGAGGATAATTATATTGTTAAATATGCGGATGATACAGTTTCCCTTTCCTATCAAGCTCAAAGGGTGACGATAGTCATGCACTTATTAAAGGGGTCATATGATGCTTTTTTAAAGATCATTATTTGGTGTAACAGCGTGACAGACACAGTGATGATGCAGTACACAAGCCACGGTTAAGACAGATGACTCCACTGTGATGTGACCCTGTGTCTCTCTCTCTCTCTCTCTCTCTGTCTCTCGCACACACACACCGCTCTCTCTTGCTCGCGCGCACGCACACACACCGCTCTCTCTCTCGCTCGCGCGCGCACGCACACACACACCGCTCTCTCGCGCAGGCACACACACACCGCTCTCTCTCTCGCTCGCGCGCGCACGTACACACACCGCTCTCTCTCTCTCTCTCGCTCGCGCGCGCACGTACACACACACCGCTCTCTCTCGCTCGCTCGCGCACGCACACACACACACACACACACACACCGCTCTCGCTCGCGCGCGCACACACACACACGATGCGCAAAACTCGCATTTGAACAGTCAATAGCAAATACTTAAACTAATAACAAAACAGTAGCTGATTCTGAATTACCACCTCTCCTAGGTTCACGAAACGGTCGTCCATAAAATGCATTGCTGTTCTGTTGTAAGTAATCTTAAAGATTCCTAAATGCATCTACTTCTGGAAGGCCAAATAAAGTGCTTTTGCTTTCGCCTAGAAACACACAGCGTCTCCCTGACATGCTGCTTCAACACTAACTGCGGTTACTGAAACCACGCCTTCTTTCTTTGCGTGAACATTTTGGCAGAATTATGCTAATATTTCCACATAGTGAGGTAGATATGTGGGGGCGTGTTAGAACGAGCTGTTTTAGGGGGGTGTGGCAGAGTCTTAACTTTGATAAAGAATATCTCTTTGGTTTTGAGACTTTAGACTTTGCAACTTCAGGGATCTTATCTATGCACAATCAGCTTGTAACACTCCAAAGAGAAAGGAAAACTTGAAATCGCATCATATGACCCCTTTAAGTTTATCACATGCTGCAATGAGGCAGAGTTGAGACTAAATATAACGAAAACAAAAGAGATGGTGATTGATTTCAGGAAAAAAAAAAACGCTCCAAAGGTGCAACCAGCGCTTATTAAGGACAAAGAGGTTGATAAGAGTAGAGGAGTATAAATACTTTGGAACCATTTTTGATACAACCTTAAAGTTTCAGCAAAATACAGAGGCTATCATCAAGAGGGTTCACCAAAGAATGTTTGCCCTGAGGAAACCGAACTCTTTCTGTGCACAAAAATCTATATTGAGTGTATTTAATAATACTTTTATTGAGAGCGGCTTGAGTTTTCATTCCTATGCAAGTTTCCATCTAAAGAATAAAAATAGCATCCAAACTGTAGTTAGGACTTGCTCAAAAATTACTGGTGTGCCACTGCGAAGCCTAACTGAATTTCATGAGCAGCAACTGATAAGGAAAGCTTGGAGTATCATGCACATGCACTTTGAGATAATGCGTTCTGGCAGACGGCTTAGAAGTATTAAGTGTTTGACCAACCGATATAAGTTTACCTTTGTACCAGAAGCCATTCGTATTTGTAATTTGAATTTCATTAAGGACTCTTAATATGTCTGTCTGTGTCATTTATAAATTTCATAAGTGGTTGAATTTACTATGAAGCTTGTTGTATTGATGTAATTTGTAATTATGTGAAAGTGTCTGTATTAGGCTAATGTTTCTTCTGTGATTCAATTCTTGTTTTTATGTTTATTTGGGAAGAAGTCTGTGATGTGGTGCCCATGCCCTACTGAATTTTCCCCTCTGGGATTAATAAAGTAAACATTAATTAATAAACCAAACTAACTAAACTAATAATGAAATTATCTTATCTTATTATATATATATAAAACATCTTTATTGAGAATAAAAAGATTGTATATTACTCAAAGAATACATAAAATGTACATTTCTTCACAGAAAATTAAATAAATAATTATAAACTTAGTATGAAAAGGGTCTGTTTTCGAAGAGTCACATATTTGTCAGGAAGCCTGTGACTTGAAGCAAGGTCATGATTATTACAATTATTCTTTTAATTGTTGAATTTATTAAATTTTTTTAAAGTATTATTTAATCAATTTACGGTATTAATTGATTAATTAATATAATATACTATTCAATATAAGAATACTTCATTATTTTGAATATTAAAAAAAAAAACATTTGAAAAGGAAGTTTGGAGCTAAATGACTTTTTACATAATACTTTGCAATAAACACAATAGTTAGTGGGTAATTGTTTCTTTAAAGTGATGACAATAGGAGAAACTGGGTGAAATACTCTCATTAACTTTAGTTAGTTAATTTTTCAATTTAGTTCAGTGTATTTTAGTTTAATTAATTTAGTTTTTGTTGAGCAGAGGCAGGTTTTTTTTTTTTTTTTTTATATATATATGGCCATACATGACTAATACTTTGACACAATCAGGAATTGCACCAGAAATAATATCATTCTCTCTCATCTACAGTTACAGCTCCATTGGCTTAGCTCACCTTTCCTGTGGTGCAATACAGTCCAGCCATGGATAAGATTTTGGAAGCACTGGTCAGCTCCTCTCATCCTCTGACTGTCAAACGGGCTATTGTGAAAAAAGTCATGGAGGCTGCAGAAAAGGAAGTGACCGAGGAGCAGTGCCAGGCCTTGTACCATCTCACCACCCGCCTTATTCTCCTGGGCGAGGATGCTTTTCAGCGACAGGTTGGCCTCCAAGTGCAAGAAGCGTACGCACGTTACCATCGTGATGAGTTTGCCCGCTTCTTCAGCAAGGAATGCGTACTTGGTCTCCTACAGCAGGGCTATGGCTCTTTGGACTGCAGAGACCCTGCCATCTTGGACTTTCTACACGGTTCCCTTCGACTGCTCATCAGCTGCCCGGCTGTGTTGGAATTGGCACCATTGCTTCAGACGGAGGTCCTACGCATCATCTGTGAACGGCCAGAACCAGCAACTTGTGCCAAGCTGGCCACCATACTGACGGACTTCCCTCAGTGCGTCCCTCGAGAGAAGGCTGGAGTTCTTTTTTGTCAGCAGCTTGTGCGCACCTTTGCGTATTTCCACTGTCCTGCCACTGAAGAGCGGGAGTTGCGGGAGTATGTGACTCAGGTGACCAGGGTGAGCGTGCTGCTGCAAGGCATCTGGAAGGCCGAGCCGGCCACGCTGCTACCGTCACTGCAGGAGGTGTTTGCCATCATCTCATCCACAGGTCAGTAAGCAGTGATTCCTCTTGTGATGATATTTTAAATCAAGGGAATTAATCCAAAAATTAAAATTCTCTTATTTACTCACCCTCATGTCATTCCTTCCAACCCTGTATGACTTTCTTCAGTGGAAAGTAAAAGGGGAAAAATTGGTTGCTCTTTTACACACAATTAGAATGAATGTGGATGAAGCTTTAAAAAAATGCAGAAGCACCATGAAATCTCATAAAAAGTGCCTGTAGTAGACATATAGACATGAGAATGAGTAAATGATCACCAATTTTTTATCTTTGGATGAACTAATCCAGAAACAGCATTGTTAAAATATAGTCAAGTTGTGTCAAGCTAAAGTGTACTTGCTTTTTTTTCATCTATATCAGGTTTTTTTAAATTATGAAAATAAATTAGTAATTTTAAAATAAAACCAGAATCAGAATAATTCACATAAATTATGAAAATCTGAGGAAATATTTTATTTGTTTACCTGCCTGTCATGTGACCTTTAAGCAGCATCAGAGAACCATGAACATGTGAATGTCTTGTTAAATTATTGATTATCTTAAATCTCTGGGGTTACTTTAAGTAAATATTTAGGGTAGCCTAAATACTTTAAGGGGTTTGGCTGACAAAAACGTTTGTAAATCCCTGATATAATGGGTTGGTATAGACATCAGTCAAACCAATAGGTAGGCCTAATCTTCTTACCTTAATCAAGAAATGTGAGTCTAAATATGATAGGATGATAGGCTTTATGCAGCACATGAAAGCATCTTGCCCTGCAAAACACTATAATTACCAAAATATATTATTGTTAGGCCTATATATGTGTTAATGTTACGATATTATAATAATTATTAAAAAATATTAAAATACATAATTTTTACTATTCTTTGTATATTTTACTTATACTTTGTTTTTATATTTTATATATATTTTTAATATTATAAAATGCCTCCTAGACATATACTATTTTAATATGCATGTGTTTTGTATTCTGAATGTTCTGAGGAACCTCTAAAGGAATATAATAATAATAAAAATTATAATAATTAAAAGTTTAATATTATGCTAATTAGACTACATGTGTAAGTGGGAATTGGCAAGTATCTGCAATGTGTTTTGTTTTCATTTCAGACCCTTCATTTGAACCCTCCATTGCTCTAGCATGCCTGGTCCAGCACATCCCTCTGCAAATGATCACAGTCCTCATCAAAAGCCTCACCACTGACCAGAATGTTAAAGATGCCAGTATGACACAAGCACTCTGCAGGTCAGACTGTGTGCGCGCGCTGTGTAAAGCTTGTGAATAGTGCTTTTGTGTCTGTTTAAAAGACTAAGCCCTTGATCCAACTGCAATCATGTTGTTTTCTCTACTTCTTGTGCGCTTCAAGTATGTGGTAATTGCATTTATGCAACTCATTTAGAAAGAGTGTAGTGTTCATCATGGCTTAACAGATTTTAAATGAGTAGTAATTGTTTTGTTGTTGTTGTTGTTTTTTTCTCTGGTTGAATGTTGAGGTCAAAATGTTGGCAGTTTTCTTTTTTGTGGCACTGTTACTGTTATATAAGGCTTTTATTTTATATGTTGCCTGTCCTGACCCTGTTTTCTCTCTCCATCTTTTTCAGGATGATTGACTGGTTGTCCTGGCCTCTAGCCAATCATGTGGACACTTGGGTCATTGCTTTATTAAAGGGACTTGCTGCTGTTCAAAAGTTCACCATCCTCATAGATGTCACACTGCTCAAAATTGAACAGGTTTGTGTGTTTGTATGTACTCCTAAAAGAGCACATGTTTAGAGAATTACAAGCAACACCAGCATAAGAGTTCTGATTTGTGGAAGGTATTGAGAAGTGGAATGGATCAGAATTTAGTTGGTTATTTGAGTTTATCAAAAACATTTTTTCGTTGATACCTAAGAATTGGTTGGTGAGACCTGCCTGGCAGAGACTTTTCTATGTGTTTATGTGTATGAATGTGGTTTTGTTTGTCTGTTTGCAGGTCTTTAATCGTCTTTGGTATCCTATTGTGAGACAGGGAGCGCTGGTGGTTCTTTCACATATGCTGCTTAGTTTCCAGCACTCTCCTGAAGCCTTCCACTTAGTAAGGCCACTATGGACATTGCTTCTCTTTCTCCCTTTCAAAAAACCCTAGTTTTAAAACCCCTTGTGCCATCAGATCTTCCCATCAATAAGTGCTCAAAGCCTAATTAAGCCTTCATAGATTACTTTTTTTATATATTTTTTTTATAAATCTGTTTTTCCCTTTTAATATTGAAATGAGTTAGAACATTCTAAAGATTTGTAGTGCTTTTAAGGACCTGTTGTTTTTAGTGTCTGATTTTAGCATTTTAATATCTGCTTTGTCATAATTTCAATGTGATGTGAATTATTTTACCCGTCATTTATACTAGGTGGTTCCTCATATAGTCCCACTTGTAAAGTCTTTGAAGAACGATGGCCTTCCCAACAGCAAAACCTTCCTGCTGCAATTTGCAGAACTTGTCCACTGCATGATGTACCAGTATTCCGGCTTCCCAGACCTCTATGACAACATTCTTGAATCCATTAAAGTAAGATATAGACAGGAAATCTCTGGTTTCATCTCTTATGAACTAACTTAAATCACTGCTGAATTTATTTAGCATTTTGTCCTTGAATGTAATAAGTAATTTTATACAGAATCGTTCAAATGTTTGGGGTCGGTAAGGTTAATGTTTTTGAAAGTCTCATGCTCCTCAAGACTGCAATTGTTTGATGAAAAATACAGTAAAAACTCTAATATTGCGAAATATTGCAATTTAAAATAACTGTTTTCTATTTTAACATAGTCAAATATAATTTTATTCCTGTGATGGCAAGGTTTAATTTTTAGCAGCCGTTACTCCAGTCTTCAGTGTCACATGATCCATTAGAAATCAGTCTAATTATTCTGATCTGATGCTCAAGAAACAGTCATGTTGTGCTTTGAGTTTTTGAAAGTTTAAAAGCACAGCACTTATTTAAAATATACATCTTTTGTAACACTATAAATGTGCTTACTGTCGCTGTTCAATTTAATGCATCCTTGCTGATCAAAAAAAAAAAACTTACCGAACACAAACTTCAGAACAGTACTGTATTTCAGTGCTTCATCTGTTTTATATCCACCTCTGGTTCTGTTGTAGGAACTACCTAAACCTAATGAGGAGAAGATCAAATTTGTTCTGAACCAAAGTGCCTGGACCTCTCAGTCAAATTCATTTGCCTCAGGCCTGCTTAAGATCACAGGAAAATCAGAAACGGGGAAGACGGGACTTGTGAATCTGGGCAACACCTGCTACATGAACAGCATCATCCAAATTTTATTTATGGCTACAGAGTAAGTTTTAAATATACTGCATATTGTCTGATCTCTTTCTCAACCGTTTAACTGTCTAACATTCTCCATATGCAAATACCATTACGTTTTTATACCATTTTAATGATTGCATGTAAACACAATGTTAATAATACATGATAGAAATGATCCTCAGGCATTTAAATGTTTAAAATATTTATAATGCTTTTTCAACTGCAAGATATTTTTCAGCTCTAACAGTCTCTTTATAAAAGTTTCAGACGGCATGTTATGTCTCTGCATTTGAATGGCTGCAACACCCTCATGAAGAAGCTCCAGCTTCTATTTGCCTTCTTGGCCCACACACAGGTATGTTTATCTTCTGCGCAGTATTCTGTCTGTCCTCTGAAACATTGCAACGCTTGGCATTACTGGGTAGGGGTGTTAAATGAGACTGTTAAGCATACCTGCTGGTGATTATTTATCATGTTATATGCCCACCAGAGAGCAGCATATTCTCCAAGGAGTTTTTTGGAGGTTTCTCGGCCACCATGGTTTACAGCTGGATCCCAGCAAGACTGCTCAGAGTATTTGCGCTTTCTGCTGGACAGGTAAACTCCGAAAATGGCTATGGCATCCTTTCCTATAACTATAAGAAAGATGTATGTTTAAAGCCTTCTACACACTGCACAATTTTTGGCTGTCCCAGACGAAAGATTGGCATTGTGAAACAATCGTGGTGATTTCTGTGAGCGTGGCTCCTCAACGGTGGTCCAGTGAGAGAGGTTCAAAGACGGCCGTTGTCACGGTCTTGCGACCAAAGATAGTCTAAGATAGATCATTTTCTGACAGTGTCAGAAATTCAGCATGATCATCGCACAGTGTGTTTGCTTCTACGACCCACGTTTACTGACCAACCAATAAAAATGCGACATGAAATCAATGCGACACGGCGCTAAAACATAAAACTGCTTATCTCAGACACACATAAAAAACTACAACTGGCAAAATGTGATTCATCATACTCTTTTTGTTTAGCACTAGCGCATGCTGATAACATTTTATTCTTCATGCGTCGTAGCCTACGTGTCAATAGGTGTCATCATTGTACAGTCTGCATACATGTCGTACTCAAGTTTATCAGATCCATGTCGCACAGTGTGATTTGCAATAATCTGCTAAAAGAGTTGCTCTAGGCCGTTTTCCTGTGAGTGCTTAAAGGGGTGGTGGATTGCGATTTCACTTTTTTTAACGTTAGTTAGTGTGTAATGTTGCTGTTTGAGCATAAACAATATCTGCAAAGTTACCAAGCTGAAAGTTCAATGCAAACGGAGATATTGTCTTTTAAAATTCTGGCAGTTTAATGCCTACAATAACGGCTGGTAGGGACTACAACAAGTTACTTCCCGGGTTCGTGACGTAACAAACCCAGATAAACCCCACCCTCGGGAAAAGTCAGCAAAGGGGGCGAGGCCATGCTGCGCTGCTTTAAAGAAAAGAGAGAGAAAACTAGAGGTGCACGTAAAAATCTATTCATATATGAATCGTGATTCTGTCTTCTAAAGATTCTAATGGATTCACAAGTTTCAAAATCAATGTTCTTAAGCAGCGATTCTCAATCCTGTTCCTCGCGTCCCCCTGCTCTGCACACGCTCTGCATCTCTCTCTCTCTCAGCTCAGCTCCAGCAATGAACTGTTCCAATTATACTCTTATTTTCACATAGCTATGAGAAGCGTTAAACACGGACGCGCGTGCAGTTGCTGTACTGTATTAAAGCTTTAACCATCAAGCAGCGCTTCTCTCTCCTGCTTCCCCCGTCCCCCTCCTCCCCTCTCTCTCTCTCTCTCTCTCTCTCTCTCTCTCTCTCTCTCTCTCTCTCTCTCTCTCTTGTGTGTACTTTCCACATTTTCAAAATGACTTCCATCATTTTGAGAGATAAAATGCCCGAAAACCATTCAGTTTTCCTATTAGATGGGATATTTAAATAAAGAGGATATTGTATACCTATTAAATTAATATTTAATATATTATTTGTCTAAGTAATAACATTTTGTTTTTACATTGCCACAGTTCTTCTGGATTTAGTCTGTCTCAGTTTTTTTCTGTTTCTTCATGCAATCCCTGGTGTGATCAGATCTCTGTGTGGAGCACTGACTGTTGTCAGACTCCTTGTGCATACAAAAATCTTACTGGATTATTACAATTAATGGCAAAAAGAATGTTTGGAAATGTAAACATATATTTCCCACTGACACACTACAGCAAAAGATAACTGGCTTATACAAAAAAAATAACTTGACTTAAAACCATTTTTTTGTTGGTGAAAATACCAGTGGCCTAATAGTAGTGTATATCATTTTGTAATAATCTGTTATCTGCAAATAAATATGACATTTATCTGATTGAGTATTTTAATTGATTATAAGCCTAAAAACAATAAAATAATGTGTTTTCTTATTTACAACAGCAGGGGGAGTTCATGTATTTCGTGTATTTGTTATGTTCTGTCTTCCTATGTGATATGAAGGTTGCATGAAGAAGAGAAGACTCTTTCAGCCCTTCAGGTGACCAGCCCAAAACCTGAACCTGCAACCACTTCTGCTGAAACTCTTCAAGCTGCTGCAAGTCAGCCGGTCGCTGATATGCCATCACATCCAGATCCTGTGGCAGCCAATGGAGATGGTCGCACTCTAGTGGAGCGTATGTTTGGTGGTCGACTCTCTACAGCCATCCGCTGCCTGCAGTGCCACAGCCTGTCAGAAAAAGAGGAGCCATTTACAGACCTCTCTCTTGCCTTCTGCCCCTCGATGTCCAAGTGCCACGGTCCCACCGATGAGCACAAAAGCTCCTCCTCTGTGGGACCCTGCCAAGGGGCGGTGAATGGAGGCAGTGAATCCTCAGAGGGCTCAGTAAAAGAAGGTGCAGGAACCAGGATGGAGAGGCCGGTGGTGGAGCCCACACTGTCTGCACCAGATTTAGTCGACTACTTCCTGGCTCCAGAAATCCTAGAGAATGAGAACTGCTACTTCTGTGAACGCTGCGCCTCACTGCAGAGGGCCAAGAAGGTCATGCAGGTGGTGGTGGCACCGGAGTACCTCATTCTGACTTTGCTGCGCTTCTCGTACGATGCCACCTGCCACGTCCGCCGCAAGATCCTGGACAATGTAGGCATTCCGCTGCACATGAGCCTACCTTTACGCCAATACGGTATCTCCGCTTCATCATCCTCCTCAGCTGCAGCTACATCTTCCTCATCTGACTCCCCCGACAGTGGTGAGAATCTAGCTAAGAAGCTCAAGCCTTCTCAAATGGAGGATGGGATGATGGAAAACAGAATAAATAGTGAGACACATGACAGCGATTCAGAGATGCTGTCAGTGCCGTATGTTTTGAGTTCTGTTGTAGTGCATTCTGGAATGTCCTCTGAGAGCGGTCACTACTACTCGTATGGAAGGAATGTGAGTAGCACTGATGGTTATGTAGCTCACCCATGTCCTAAGACCCTGGAAAGCTCCAGCCTATCAGAGAGCTCGACCGACACACATGAGGAAATGGGATGTGCTGAGCACAAGTCCATGGACTGGTTCTTGTTTAATGACAGCCGAGTGTCTTTTACAAACTTTGAATCATTGCAGAATGTCACCAGTCGCTTCCCTAAGGACACAGCCTATGTCCTGATCTACAGGAAACAAGAGGTCAGTGGACAACCAAGCAATTCAGGGCCAGTTGTAAATGGCTCAAGACTGAGTGGAGAGCCACCCCTGCAGAAAGAGCTGATGGATGCCATTACCAAAGACAACAAACTCTTCCTACAGGTGAGAATGTTGTACTTTATGATGCTCTTATGCTTACAAAGACTGCATTTATTTGATCAAAATACAATTCATAAAGGTAATGTTGTGAAATGCTGCTAAAAAAACAAAACAAAACAAAAAAAACTGATTTGAATATGTTCCAAAATATAATTATATAATTAATTCCTGTGATGGCAAAACTGAATTTTTAGCACCCATTACTGCAGTCTTCAGTGTTACATGATCCTTTAGAAATCATTCTAATATGCTGATTTGCTGCTTAGGAAACATTACTAATTATTATCAGTGTTGAAAACATTTTTGCCACTTCATATTTTTGTGGAAACAATTAAATATTTTTTCAGGAAATTTCAAATGAACAGCATTTCATTAAAATAGATTTTTTTTGTAACCATGTAAAGGTTTTTACTGTACATTTAATGCGTTTTACTGAATAAAAGCATTCATTTCTTTAAAAAAAAGCTTTTGAACTGTAATATATAATCTGTAATCTTGTCAGTGGCATAACACTCATTTGTTTTGTCTGGGTCTTTCTTTTTTTCAAAAGTACATGCATTTCTCATACAAGACTTGCATACACATTTTCTAATGCTAATAAAAACTTAAAGTCATTTGGTGGAAATACATGTAGGGGAAAACACATAGGACAGGAAATTATGTTATAGAGAGAAAACCCTGCTGAAAACTCTCATGACATATATCGCTTAAAACATCAGGTCATTTGAAGTATATCATTTTTAATCATGAATTCACAAATGTAATTATATACTTTTTACCTTAAAGGATATTAACGTATTTTTAATCTTTGTTGAACATGATCATTAAGATACTCTTATTTTTCTAAGGTGTAATGAAAATGTTATTGTTATTCTACATGACATTTTTTTTAAGTTTTGTTAAAAATGGTTTTTCAAAATCATATGAAACCTTTTCCTTTATCTTGGACACTCTAATTAGTCAGTTGATTAGAGTTGAACCTGGAGCATAGATTTAACCCTTCGTTTCTTTTCCTGCCAGGAGCAGGAGCTGAATGCCAGAGCTCGGGCTCTTCAAGCAACCTCTGCTTCTTGCTCATTCCGACCCAATGGTTCTGATGACAACGATCCCCCTGGCAGCTGTGGACCCTCAGGTGGGGGTGGAGGAGGGGGCTTCAATACCATCAGCAGACTCGTCTTCTAAGGAAGAGTCACAGACATACTCGGAGCACTGGACAGTCCCACTGACAACACTGGACTCCATTTGTTTTGCCCTAATTGCCCACAATGTGGATAAGTGTGCCACCTCAGAACAGATGTCTTAATTTTTCTGGTTTGCGTGCTTTTTCCCATTTCCCACATTGACGTTAATTTACATTGACGTTCATTTGAAATTAATTGAAGCACTTTGAGTACTATAGGTCAGAAATGGGCATGCAATAAATTTGTACAGAATACAGTAATAATTACGTTCTCATCCTGGAATCTTAATTGTTTCAGTTTCTAAACAGAAATCTTTAGAGAATGGTTTTAAAAATTCAAGCAAATATTTTTGGACCATACTATACAGTGAACTACTTGCATTAATATTTTAATTGAAAGTTTTTCAACTTCTGGTTTGAGGATTACAGTTATATCTGTTTAGTCAATTATTTAATTACAATTAAGTTATTTTATTCATTCAGGGAATACTTTTAATTTTGTTTTTTTTAGAATTTTATGTGCCTTTCAATACTTCAGATTTTACAAAATTATTGGACTAGCTATACAATAAACACCTTGCTCTTGCTGTACAGCGTTAATATGTAATGATTATGTTTTTGCTCTATAGTGAAGACTCGTCATCACTTAACATGGTCTAATTTTATAATTTGAAATGCATGTTACAATTTATCACTGTCAGATTCTGTGTCATTTACTAGTTAAAAGATTTGAGAAGACTGTGCATATTTTATTTCAAGGTTTGAGATGTAATTTCAGTATGAAAGCTCAGTGTTATATCAAAAAAGCTGAAATTTCAGTTTTCAGGGTTCAGTTACAATAAGACACACATTTGATTTCAAGACAAGTACGTTGATACATTTTCATTACTTAAAAAAAAATATATATATATATACATACATTTTATTAATATTAAAAAACGTTTTATTTCAGCTCATTTTATTTCTATTTCTCACTTTTGTTTAGTTTAAGTAAAACCTAAAAACTATATAGACATTTAAATAATGACAAAAAAACATCAAAATTACTACAACTTTAAAATTAAAACAAAATATAAACAAACTCTAATAATATATTAAAATAACAATGGGTTATACTGAACTTCAAAGCAACAATTATAACAAGTGTTATTCCTGTGAATATTCTATGGCTCATGACATGTTCTAAGACTGAGGTTTGTTTTGACTATCAGAGCATGAGACCTTTGTTAGTCACCTTGTGGCTATCAATCCATAAGTCCACCCCCAACATCCCAGTGTCCTCCGTTTGAACCACTGTGCTCCATGTCCTTTGGTGAACCCTGACACGATGCTCGGCTTTTGAGCACACAGTCCTCTTCAAATCAGTACGGCATCATTGTCCTGGTGCATTAGCTTAGAATAGACCCTTAAGGCTGTGGTGAAGCACTCCTTAGATGCACATTTCTTAACTGAAGAACTAATACATGTAGCAAAGACGGCATCGTGGTTTTCAAATGTGGGCACCTTTAGTTCTTCATTCCCTCCAGAGCCATTAGCTTTATATCATGTTGGGCGCTGCAGCGTTGCACCACTCACACAGTCTGTAGAACCATTTGGTAAAATCAATGACTCTCAATTATTCAACAACTGAGATCTACACATGTCTTTGCTACAGTTTAGGCCACTCCCACTGACAATTTATTCTGTGACATGGAAATTGTTATCATATTGTAATAGTTCTGTAATAACCGTTTAAATAGCCACTTATATCGTCTTTAGGTTTTTAGATCAATAATCGAAGAAAACAAACAAGGTGTTGATTGTAAATTATGGCATAGACAAAAATACTTAATATAAATTATAGGCTACATCAAATATCACTCTTGAGTTGCATATTGTCATTATAACGTTTTCGTTTTTGGCTTCATTCTTGTGTTTGATTTATAACATTTACCATTTGATGAGTAATTTTAACAACAGACTTTTGTAATTGAATCTGATAAGACCATTTCTCTGGAAAAAATAATAAATGATATAAGTAAATAAATTCATAAATGCATGTAGTCTTCAACACATAACTGCAGGCTTTTTTTCTATTTAAGGTATATTTCTGCACTATAGCTTGACAATAGCACTTGTCTAATAATATTTTCATTTATTTTAGGACCTCAATCATTAAAAAATTCACTGTGAACTGAAGTGAATAAATCCAATGCTTTCTGACTAAGTACACTCCACCATCTTTCTGTCTTCTCTCTCTTTTTCTTTCTGATTTACATTTGACATCTTTAGAGTTATAATTAGTAATACAAGCCTACTGAATTTTCCATACTCGAAATTATAATAATTAACTATCATAAAAAAAGCTATGTTAAAATTAGTAGTGTCAAGAATGAACAAAATCCTTCTTTAAATTGTATAAGTGATACCTAATTTAACAATTGTATATACTGCCCTAAGTGTACTGGAAGTGCACCTCCATATTGCAAAATGTTCATTTTAATCCACAGCCTGAAATCACATGATGAAAGATTATAGGATAATAAACTGACTAAATCAATCCTTTGCAATGAGCTGCAAATTAGGCTACATTGAGTAGGCACAAAGTTTCAGAGATAACTGGGTAAGGCGTTTAGCATTCCGAAGATACCAATCCCACAAACATGAAAGTTCTGTACTCCAGCTGTTCACTTTTCATCATTATATTGCTTATTATCAGTGATACAAACTTTAATACCTTGTACTACGCTTTTTAGTGGTTTATCTTAAACTGTGCATTTCTGCCATTTTTTTTTCATTAGGCCTATTTATAAAAATATATCCTATGTGTAAAATTAATTCATGCATTAAAAAAAATAAATAAATAAATAAACTGGCAATAAAAATAAGTGGCATAACCGCAGGCTACTTGGACAGTTCAGGGGTCTCATTTATAAAATTCTCCGTAGATTTCATCCTAAAAGTGTACGTAGGCACAAAAGCTAGATTTTGCGCAAGCACAAACGTTTTCAGATTTATTAAACCATGCATACGCCAGAACCTCCGCAAAAACCCCTTTATAAATCCCAGTCAGGGGAAGATTGTGCGTACGTGCGTCTCCACCCCGACTCCTCCCCAAAATCACCATATATGGAGCTTTCAACGCCTAGTTTTACTATGCATAACCTCATCTGCATATCATTTCTATGCATATTCCCATCCACGTGACACCATGCTTAACACCGTCAAAGGTAGGAAATAATGAGATACAGACTATAAATGCCATTTGTGCAATGCACATTCATTTTTATTGCTAAAAATCATCCAGTGTCCTTGTTATGTCTTAGAATAAATATATCAAAATATCCATAAAAACTATCTAAAACAGTTCTCAGAAAAAGAATTTAGAATAGAGTCGATCTCATTCATTTCCACTGGCCCAATATTCAATTGTTTAAAAAAAAAAAAAATTCAAATCAAATTAAATTGTTGTAGTTTTGCTGATAAGGTGAACATCTTTTAGATATTTTTAGTGGAGAAATATAGCCTAGGCCTATATATTTTTGCAGTGTAAATACAATTATCTGCGCGTCATTGACAAAGTATTTTAAAAAGGAAACGTGCGAATCTTACCGTTTTCTTCAAGTTGTCTACATCCTTCAAATACAGTGGTATTTTTCATAATGTTGTGGAGATGCCTTCACACGACATCAACACTTCCGTGCAGCTGCGGTTGTACAGTAAGCTATTATCATTGTTGTACAGTAAGCTATTATCATTGTTGTACAGTAAGCTATTATCATTGTTGTACAGTAAGCTATTATCAGCATGAGACCTTTGTTAGTCACCTTGTGGCTATCAATCCATAAGTCCACCCCCAACATCCCAGTGTCCTCCGTTTGAACCACTGTGCTCCATGTCCTTTGGTGAACCCTGACACGATGCTCGGCTTTTGAGCACACAGTCCTCTTCAAATCAGTACGGCATCATTGTCCTGGTGCATTAGCTTAGAATAGACCCTTAAGGCTGTGGTGAAGCACTCCTTAGATGCACATTTCTTAACTGAAGAACTAATACATGTAGCAAAGACGGCATCGTGGTTTTCAAATGTGGGCACCTTTAGTTCTTCATTCCCTCCAGAGCCATTAGCTTTATATCATGTTGGGCGCTGCAGCGTTGCACCACTCACACAGTCTGTAGAACCATTTGGTAAAATCAATGACTCTCAATTATTCAACAACTGAGATCTACACATGTCTTTGCTACAGTTTAGGCCACTCCCACTGACAATTTATTCTGTGACATGGAAATTGTTATCATATTGTAATAGTTCTGTAATAACCGTTTAAATAGCCACTTATATCGTCTTTAGGTTTTTAGATCAATAATCGAAGAAAACAAACAAGGTGTTGATTGTAAATTATGGCATAGACAAAAATACTTAATATAAATTATAGGCTACATCAAATATCACTCTTGAGTTGCATATTGTCATTATAACGTTTTCGTTTTTGGCTTCATTCTTGTGTTTGATTTATAACATTTACCATTTGATGAGTAATTTTAACAACAGACTTTTGTAATTGAATCTGATAAGACCATTTCTCTGGAAAAAATAATAAATGATATAAGTAAATAAATTCATAAATGCATGTAGTCTTCAACACATAACTGCAGGCTTTTTTTCTATTTAAGGTATATTTCTGCACTATAGCTTGACAATAGCACTTGTCTAATAATATTTTCATTTATTTTAGGACCTCAATCATTAAAAAATTCACTGTGAACTGAAGTGAATAAATCCAATGCTTTCTGACTAAGTACACTCCACCATCTTTCTGTCTTCTCTCTCTTTTTCTTTCTGATTTACATTTGACATCTTTAGAGTTATAATTAGTAATACAAGCCTACTGAATTTTCCATACTCGAAATTATAATAATTAACTATCATAAAAAAAGCTATGTTAAAATTAGTAGTGTCAAGAATGAACAAAATCCTTCTTTAAATTGTATAAGTGATACCTAATTTAACAATTGTATATACTGCCCTAAGTGTACTGGAAGTGCACCTCCATATTGCAAAATGTTCATTTTAATCCACAGCCTGAAATCACATGATGAAAGATTATAGGATAATAAACTGACTAAATCAATCCTTTGCAATGAGCTGCAAATTAGGCTACATTGAGTAGGCACAAAGTTTCAGAGATAACTGGGTAAGGCGTTTAGCATTCCGAAGATACCAATCCCACAAACATGAAAGTTCTGTACTCCAGCTGTTCACTTTTCATCATTATATTGCTTATTATCAGTGATACAAACTTTAATACCTTGTACTACGCTTTTTAGTGGTTTATCTTAAACTGTGCATTTCTGCCATTTTTTTTTCATTAGGCCTATTTATAAAAATATATCCTATGTGTAAAATTAATTCATGCATTAAAAAAAATAAATAAATAAATAAACTGGCAATAAAAATAAGTGGCATAACCGCAGGCTACTTGGACAGTTCAGGGGTCTCATTTATAAAATTCTCCGTAGATTTCATCCTAAAAGTGTACGTAGGCACAAAAGCTAGATTTTGCGCAAGCACAAACGTTTTCAGATTTATTAAACCATGCATACGCCAGAACCTCCGCAAAAACCCCTTTATAAATCCCAGTCAGGGGAAGATTGTGCGTACGTGCGTCTCCACCCCGACTCCTCCCCAAAATCACCATATATGGAGCTTTCAACGCCTAGTTTTACTATGCATAACCTCATCTGCATATCATTTCTATGCATATTCCCATCCACGTGACACCATGCTTAACACCGTCAAAGGTAGGAAATAATGAGATACAGACTATAAATGCCATTTGTGCAATGCACATTCATTTTTATTGCTAAAAATCATCCAGTGTCCTTGTTATGTCTTAGAATAAATATATCAAAATATCCATAAAAACTATCTAAAACAGTTCTCAGAAAAAGAATTTAGAATAGAGTCGATCTCATTCATTTCCACTGGCCCAATATTCAATTGTTTAAAAAAAAAAAAAATTCAAATCAAATTAAATTGTTGTAGTTTTGCTGATAAGGTGAACATCTTTTAGATATTTTTAGTGGAGGAATATAGCCTAGGCCTATATATTTTTGCAGTGTAAATACAATTATCTGCGCGTCATTGACAAAGTATTTTAAAAAGGAAACGTGCGAATCTTACCGTTTTCTTCAAGTTGTATACATCCTTCAAATACAGTGGTATTTTTCATAATGTTGTGGAGATGCCTTCACACGACATCAACACTTCCGTGCAGCTGCGGTTGTACAGTAAGCTATTATCATTGTTGTACAGTAAGCTATTATCATTGTTGTACAGTAAGCTATTATCATTGTTGTACAGTAAGCTATTATCATTGGACCTATTCAAACCGGCCAATAGACCGTTCCACCGAATCCAGCAGTGTCCGCCATAATATCGAAGTAAGTGCGCATCATTGATGTTCTCGCTACAAATATTTTCTCATAACATGAGATGTGCAGTTTAGTTTAAGGATGAATTCTTGTGCACCTATAGCACTCCTCGCTGTCATTAAAACATAACATAACCACAAGAAAAGTAATCAAGCGCATCCACTACAAATAGGCTATGTCTGAATTCATACAAATTTGGTTTAACTTCTGCGTAATGACTTTATGTAATTTCAGTGCTTATCTCCATTAATGAGAGTGGAATATTTCATGCAAATGTATATGATGAAATGAATCGTTGTTTACTTCATTACTTTTCTCTCTCCAGGAAGAAAAAGTCTGTACGCATGGGACTCTTTTCTGCGATTCGGTTCTTTCGAACAGCTCATTTGAAGAGTCGGTTCAAAAACAGATTCTGTGATTCTTTTACGTGCTGACGTAATTACGTCATCGTGTGTTGACTATTACATGGCCTAGATGTAGCATGGAAACTGCCAAATAAGTTTTGTATCAATAACAAAATTAAGGAAGCGTCTTACAAAATACTTCATCGAATTTATCCTGCTAAGCATGTTTTGGAAAGATTTAAGCTTAATATTTCGTATACCTGTGAATTTTGTGGTCAAGAAAAAGAAACTATTTTGCATCTTTTTTTTCATTGTATTTACTCGAGATTATTTTGGAAGGATTTGGAATTCTATATTAACAGAAAAATAGAGTGTATGATAGAAATTAGTATATTTGATGTACTTTTTTAGACAGAAAAAGAAAATTTGAATTGTAAAGAACAACATAAATGCATATCCTTTTGAGATATCAATTATAATCAATTTTAATAAAACACAAGATTACATTATATAACTCTAACAGTAGGCTATTTAATATCTGTTGTTCTCTGGTTGTCAGTCAAAATGACAGTTCTTGCAACATAGGCCTATATATACCCAAGCCAATTTATTATTCTTTCCTTTCTTTCTTAGTGTTTAAAATATTTATTTTGAAACAAATTAATTAATTTCTTAATTAAACAAACAGACTTACTGGGTGAGCAGAGTAGGCTATGACAGCTGTCCTATCATACCCTGCCATGCCCAGCTGATGCAAAGAATAGAATTTATATCTACACAGAAGAAAGCCCTGTCTAGACTCTGCCCCAGTATGAGTTGTGTCGAGCTATTCATTAGCCTGTTTGTTTGATGAAAAAAGATGAAATGTAGTTGCAATAAATGCTTAAGAATCCATACAGCTGCAGCAGTGGAGGACTATTATTCCGCTGCATGATACTGTGGAAGAACTGATGATGGCACGGGTTGATCTTCGGTTGACCAATCAGCAGAAAGGGGCGTTTAATTCCCGCCCACATGTAGAAATTGAATATTCAAGCTGTTTATTAATTTTTCCACCCATGAAAGAAAAACGAAAATTTAAGCTGAATTTTCGGAAAAAAATGAAAAAACGAAAAAGGAGCAGTTTTCTCATTTTTCTACTTTCAATATTAAATAAAAAAAAACGAATGATACACGGATTAACATATTATACATTTGTTTATTTTGTTAGGAAAATTCCATATACATAAGAAGAAGTGGGCTCAATGTAAACCAAATTTTGCACATTTTTTAAATGACTTTAAATTATATAGAAATCTCTTAGAACAAACAAAAAAAAACAAAAAAGCACTGAAAACATGTAATGCTCTGAAAGCATTGAACTTTATGTAATGTTCTTCCTTTTTTTTCTCTGGCAGCTAATAATGTTAATTTGATCATGTGAATATGTAATACCTCATGTTCTTGTGGCATTGAATTAATAAAGCATAAAAAAAAATGCATGCCCTAGATGTTTAATAAAGCCAAACGTAGACACACATTTCTGTTTATTACTTTTTTTCTTTTTTTCGAATGGGCATATTAATGACAGTGTTTATTGGACTGTTCGGTTCATGTTTACTGCAGCATGATTCAGCTCATAAAAAAAATCTAAACATAACAAATACTTGAAAAATCAATTAAGTGCCTAAATATTTGCAATCACATTAAATAATACAAATGTGTTTCAATTTCTTGAATAAAAAGGTTGGCAGATAAAATGATATTAAAGAAAAAAATATTACAAAATATTTATATTTATAATCATATACACTGACCGATTATGATTATTTTTTTTTTTTATATATATACAAATCCTTCAAAGTTGATTTGAGAACCGGTTCAGTCGAATCATTAAACAGATCAGACTCCAAAAAACAAATAAATCACTACTTTATTATAAATTCGGTCTTAATCCGAATTTAAGCAATTTATTTGGGACTTGGGTAAGAGATTTGTTTAACACCGATAGGAGCCACCGTCCCAGTGTTTCCCTCTGACGGAGCAACACTCCAAGACTACATTTCCCATGATGTAATGTTCTTTATTCTCTGTCTTGCCCGACTTCTCCCTGCCTCTGTAGGCCAGAAGAGGCTGAGTTTAGGGAAAGTATCGTCGTTTATGCTTGTCAATCAGCAACAGCAAGGAGCCGTGGGGAGTGAAACTGGAGGGAAGGTCGACGATCGGGACGGATTTCTAGTTCAAAAAGCACTACAGTGCCAATGCGACCATAATGTTTTGGAAAAATAAGGAAAAACTGTATATATTTTCAAGGAAACTGTTTTGGTTTACTTTGAAATAAAGTAAAAATCAAAGCTTTCACTACGCCGAACTTGGCGAGTAGCTATCACTCGCTGCCTCGTTGCATTTCAGCTTGGGGGAAAAAACCCGAAACAGCGGATGATTTACTCCGACAAAGTGTGTAAACTAAAAGGGGGCTCAACTACAGACGGATATTGCTGTGTTTAGACACACTGTGTTTGATATATCAGAGGAGAGGACTTCATCCAGAAGAGTTTGAAGAGCCGTGTAGCTCTGCTGGAAACCAGGAGAGACGGTATTCATGTTGTTTTGATACACGCACTGAAAACACTTGGGCGCTACTTCCACCTCATGTTTTGGGACTTTGGTTTCATATGTTGCAGGTTGAAACACGAAACCCAAAGCGCGTATTTTCCTGGAAGGTTAGAAGAAAATGAGCGGAGGAGAAGTGGTGTGTTCGGGGTGGCTCAGAAAGTCTCCCCCTGAAAAAAAGTTACGGCGTTATGTAAGTAACGTTTACATCTCATTCAAAATGCACTGGCAGTGTTGTAACCGCAGGACTGTTGGAGCCAGATTCATGCAAATGTACAGTGCGCTTTCCAACAACCGCAGGTCAATCACTGCTCGCGATCTTCCGGTTAAGGCTTTTTCGTTCTGAAATGCTGCCGATTCAGGAATAGTTTGAAAACGGGATCAGTTCCTCAAAAATATGCGAGTGTGGACGCCGTCTTTGTGTTCAGAGCACTGCAATTGTGAAATTCGCATGTGCAAAATCCTTATTTGTGGCGTCTTGATCTGTTCTGTAGGACACACCTGCCAGTGTTAAGAGAGAACTTTTTTTGTTTGTTTATTAAAGGTACACGGAGTATTTTTTTTTTAAACATTCACACGCAAACTAAGAGCGTTTATTATTATTATTTTTTGAGAAATAACGCTGAATAATGCACACTGTGAGACTCTCACATGCCAGTTTTCTAGAAAAGGCTGTATTCTTCTACATGGAGTGGGTCGCTCCCTCATGGGCGGCGCCATGTTGACATCACATGACATAATTGACCTAGGTAAGAATAGTAAAAAATCATGTTTACTTTATGTATAGCACTTTTAGCTTGTCGTTAGGGTGTAAACATAAAACTAGGCCTACATATAAATAGTTACATGCGCAAACAGAACACAGGACGGTCACAGCCATTGGCAGGCAGGTTGCAGACTGAAAACTTGTGGTAGTCTGGTCAGGGAGGTGCAGCAGCTAGCCACCAATAACATGCAAAACATCTTTGGAATTGAATCTTAAGAATGTTCATAAGTGGATGGAGTATGAGATGGGGAAACATAGACAAAAGAGAACAAAACAAAGTTGTCCAAATTGTCTGGTACCGTTGGGAACGATAAGAGCCAGCTATGCATAAACCTTAGTGATGCTTATTGTTTTAATGGAATGTGGCTTGACCTGCAGACACCACGATCATACATCTAAATCTAAACATGTTTATGTTCTGTTTACTCATGCAAAAGTTGTTAGCAAGCAACATTCTTTTATGCAAGAGACTGTGACAGTAATGTGTGCACACGATTTGTTTACAGAAGGCATGGCTCTTTTTGAAGTTTTGGCAACCTTTTAAGTGATTCAAGCCAAAAGCTATTGTTTATATGCATCAAGGTTGCAGAAAACAGTGCTGGTACAGGTAGATGAAACTAATCATAGATTCAATTTAATTGTGTCAATTGCACTGCTTGCACCAATGATCATTACATTGACAGCTGGCTCCTTGATCTGTGCATTTTTTTGTTGTTGATGTTTTCCTTAGTTTGGTATTAAATATATTGTCACGTTACATTTTCAGAGAATTCAAGGTTTTTAGAATTTTTCACCAAATCTTACGAAAACGCCTTTGTTTGCTGCTACTTTAGTTGCTAAGACAACTGAACACTTAACTTTCCATTCTGTCTGCACTGGATGACTCGGTGCATTTAGTCATTCACACATTGTATGTGTACCATGGGGTCTTCCCTTCCTCTTAGTGGTAATATATACCAATAATCTGTAATGAAATCACTCACTTATAGCTCTGCCCGCTATCGAGCCCTAACCTAACATGTTAGAAATCTCCTTCAGGCTCATGTGATGCTTTTTTTTTTTATTGGATTCCTTTAATCTGGTGAAGCTCTGCTAGGAACATTGCTATTGAATTCATGTTTTATCTCATTGTACAATCGGCAACACGGTTTAGACTCAAACAGCCAAGTATTTTGCAAAAGTGGGATCTTTGGCATATTTTGCCATTGCGATTTCACATGCTTTGAGCTTCCAGAGTAAACGGTAGTCTGTTGAATGCGATGAACAATATTTCATGCCTCCAAATCTAATTAAAATGATTTCTGAGCTCATCCACACAATGCTATAATAAGATTAGATCCAAGCAAGAACAAGTGCTGTGTTGTAACAGAATGTTCTCACAAGTAAGTTGTTGATTTGCTTTTGCTTGAGACATATTTAAGCAAAGTGATTGTGGAGAAAAGCCTTTGTAGTTGGTTTTTAGAGTGAGATGAGAAACTTGATTCCTTTTATCCCTCCTTTCTTGTTGCAGTAAGTTTATAGTCTAGGTTTACAGTAGTTTTAATGTGCCGTCCTCAACATTGGTCTTCATTCTCAGCCTGTTTTCTGGTGCATGAAGGTGGAGTGGTCTCAATGTATCACATGTGGCTGATTAGGACCAGACTGTTTTTATTGGAGCCGAGTGGCTGCTATACTCCTCCTCAAAACGAGCCCCATGCCAGGTCTACAGGCCTATTAGTGATTCTATATCTGTTTTTGACCAGCTGTACATTGATCAACATGAGCTCTAATTTTAGATACATTTAGCAATTTCTTATGCTGTGACTGCACAGAGAAACTATAACCCTGTAATAATTTTTATCTGCTTTAGACGTCCAGTGATGACTTCTTCATGTCATTCGTAGACATCCTCCAAAAATGTACACTACCATTCAAAAGTTTGAGATTGGTAAGGTTTTTTTTTTTTTTTTTTTTTTTTTTTTTAAAAATTTGGGGGAAAATGTTTTTTTACACCACGGTGCATGAAGGTGGAGTGGTCTCAATGTATCACATGTGGCTGATTAGGACCAGACTGTTTTTATTGGAGCCGAGTGGCTGCTATACTCCTCCTCAAAACGAGCCCCATGCCAGGTCTACAGGCCTATTAGTGATTCTATATCTGTTTTTGACCAGCTGTACATTGATCAACATGAGCTCTAATTTTAGATACATTTAGCAATTTCTTATGCTGTGACTGCACAGAGAAACTATAACCCTGTAATAATTTTTATCTGCTTTAGACGTCCAGTGATGACTTCTTCATGTCATTCGTAGACATCCTCCAAAAATGTACACTACCATTCAAAAGTTTGAGATTGGTAAGGTTTTTTTTTTTTTTTTTTTTTTTTTTTTTAAGAAATTGAGGAAGAAATGTTTCTTGAGCACCAAATCAGAATTAGAGTGATCATGTGACACTAATGAGAATTCCGCTTTGTGTCACAGAAATAAATTACAGTTTAAAATACATCACAATAGAAAACGTTTTTTTTTAAATTATATTATTTAACAATATTAATTTTATAACTGTATTTTTATTACATAAATGCAGCCTTGGCAGACATAAGAGACTACTTCAAAAACATTAAAAAGATCTTGCTGACTCCAAACGTTTGAACAGTATAGTGTTTGTCATTCAAATTCCATTGTTTATTAACCCTCATTCGGTGTCCTTTTGTGTCTATATTAAAGCGATCTCTTCTTGGGTCTTTAAAGGGGTCATAGGATGCTACATGCACTTTTACAAGTTGTTTGAACTGAAATGTGTGTTGGCAGTCTGTGTACACAACCACACTATAATGATAAAAATCCACCCAGTGTTTTTTTTTTTTTTTAAATCATGTTAAATGTTTTCCCCTTTCTCAAATGGAGCCGATCTCCGATGCCTGTCTGTGTGACGTCACACAGACAGGCCCCTCCCACGATAGATTGATTGACAGTAGTGTTTCAGCACAGACTGGACTGGTGTCTTACCTTAGACCCTCCCTGAGTGAGCTGTCGTCAGTCCGCCATTGTTTCACCGCTGGAGCAGATGTAGACAAGAATGACTCCTAAGCGATTGAGGTGTTCTGTTGTTGGATGTAATAATGAACATTAGAGCCCGACCGATATATCGTTTTGCCGATATTATCGACCGATATGAGCCTGTCGCCGATATATCAGTATCGCCGAATATGCCACCGATATTAATTTTTTTTTTACAGAACATATAACGCAGATAAAATGCTTTAAATGGTGTAATTACTTAGTTTGTCCAGCAGAGCGTGCTCCATTGTTTGCTACTGGCGACCTGGATGAAACGCTTTAAATCTTAAGTCTATGGAAAACCATTCAAACTTTGAACGTCCAAATCTCTGTAATGGCGCGCGAATCCGCACCAAATTCGGGGGATCCCTTCAGCTCGAGGAACCCTCTCGAACGCGAATCAAGTGTACGTCTAGAGGCCCGCTTTCGAATGAGACCAATTCGCCGACCGATCAAGCGATCCCGGGGGGCTACCGATGGCCTGTCTGTGTGACGTCACACAGACAGGCCCCTCCCACGATAGATTGATTGACAGTAGTGTTTCAGCACAGACTGGACTGGTGTCTTACCTTAGACCCTCCCTGAGTGAGCTGTCGTCAGTCCGCCATTGTTTCACCGCTGGAGCAGATGTAGACAAGAATGACTCCTAAGCGATTGAGGTGTTCTGTTGTTGGATGTAATAATGAACATTAGAGCCCGACCGATATATCGTTTTGCCGATATTATCGACCGATATGAGCCTGTCGCCGATATATCAGTATCGCCGAATATGCCACCGATATTAATTTTTTTTTTACAGAACATATAACGCAGATAAAATGCTTTAAATGGTGTAATTACTTAGTTTGTCCAGCAGAGCGTGCTCCATTGTTTGCTACTGGCGACCTGGATGAAACGCTTTAAATCTTAAGTCTATGGAAAACCATTCAAACTTTGAACGTCCAAATCTCTGTAATGGCGCGCGAATCCGCACCAAATTCGGGGGATCCCTTCAGCTCGAGGAACCCTCTCGAACGCGAATCAAGTGTACGTCTAGAGGCCCGCTTTCGAATGAGACCAATTCGCCGACCGATCAAGCGATCCCGGGGGGCTACCGATGCGCGGAGGGTGGCGTTCGAGAGGCCTCCTCGAGCTGAAGGGATCCCCGAATTTGGTGGAGATCCGCCGGCGCGTTCGTGAGATAGTGACACCAGTCAACACTTTCACTTCAGTAAGGACTTGTTCAGGCAGCAGCATTCAAGCGTTGTCTTATTCGAACATAAGTGCCCTGCGAAGTGGACTTCACATGAAATTCCACCATGATTCCAGTTCCAAGGGAACGTACATGTTACATTCAAAGGGCATTAAAGTGCGCGGGGGCGTGAAGGGATGCACCGAATGTTCGGCAA